AAAGCTTTATATTTAAAATTTCTATGCCATAATTAGTTAATCAAATTCCTGTGTTAATTAAATATTATATACTTTAAAATAAAGAATATTTCATCTAATGCCTTTAAAAATTCTAAGTTCATAAAAACGATGTCTTATTGATTGTTCATGATTTTAATCCACACCTTAAAGGTTGTTTAATATATATCATGAAAAGCAAATTTTTATAAAGAATATTTATATATTATGCAATATACACATCTGTTTTTATGAAGCATGCATATGAGATTTTGCGAGGTCAATATCTGCCACTCAAATCTGTGGACCGGAACCTTACTGTGGATTAAGTTGGTCTACAACTAGGTTCCTAATTGATAAATGGTTTTCAGCCGGGAAAAGTCGCTACTAGCGTTACAGTCAAGGTAACCGTAAGGTAGCCTTCTTCAGCAGAACACAGTTCAGGTTGCTGGTGTGATATTTAACAGGTCACCATTGACTGCGCTATCACCTTAACAAAATGGGTCTGTCCGAAGAGATAGATTGTCGACTTTCCTTAGAAGCAGACGAGACTTCCAGTCACATTCTATGTGACTGCCTAGCCTTAATATGGGCCAGAAGGAGGTCACTAGGTCGAGAACTACCCTCCCCTTTTGACATTAGGAGGACCTCAACGGCGGACATTCTAACTTTCATTCGAAGGTGGAATATCTTTTGTTCGGTTAGGACCTGTTCAGCATAAAAGATTAAAATATCCCAATTTTATTTTATTACAAAATGTATTTATCTAAAACTAAGTTAAATTATAATGCAATAATATTATACAATAATAGAAACTGATTTATATATAACATATGTATATAAATATCTATTAAGCCGTGTTTGTGGAACTTTCATTGAGGCACATTGTTTCTCTTCACATCTGAAAGAGTAGGAGTTTATATCCAATATATACGTAAGAGGATTAGGATGATTTAAGAATGTCTGTTAATGATTTTCAATAACTTTGAATGTTTGTTTATCAGATAAGGTGGGCTGTTTGTTATAGTTTTTGATTTTTTAATTTTTACATTGAAATCTTTGCAAAAATTTTGCATTAAATATTACTACAAGTTTGTTGGGTGTGAAACTGTATCTTTCTTTACAAAGTCATTTTTCATGCAAAAGTGAAAACATATGCCAATTATTGGCATTACAGTAAAAAAATTTTGTTACTATAACATTTAAAATATAGATATGTGGTACTAGTTTGATCAACATATATGCAATTTTATTGAAATTTACTGAATAATTGACTAATTCTATAACTTAAAATTCTTCTCTGAAAAATTCATTCAACTATGCAACAATGCATGTTGAATATTTTGAGTATCTGTTGCAGACATGGTTCTAGTTATTTTGTAATATAAACTTACTTTTTGATTCAAACTTTAAAGAAATGGTTTGAATGGTTTGAAGAACTCAGTTTGAATGGCAAGTTATCATGAAAGTATTACTCAAAGAACTGAAATGTTTCAGATAAACGCCTTTCACTGTAAACTGAATGCTCACTTACATTTATTCAAATTATTGATTTTCAACGAAAATTTCAAAGGATCAATTTAAATATGTGTGTATTCAATTATTTTACACATCATTTCACAAAAATTTTATTACTTTGCATTGCACCACATATTGCAGTTTGCCGTTTGCAGTTTGCAGTTTGCAGTACATGCACAATATATTCCAACCAACCAATAAAAATGTACAATAACATAAATTTCCTGTAAAAGTACCACTAAACACATCCTGTTTATGCATCGGTAAGCGCACACAAAATAATTTGGTATCATAACAATTTGGTCACAAATGCTAGCATATCTCATATTTGCATACGAAATTATTTCCATTTCCTCTTTTTCCAGTTTGATTGAGCAACGAGATCGTGACCGCCTTTTGGATATAGTATTAGGTGCCTGTAAGAATTATTTGCGTTTCAATTTGGAATCCGCTTTTGCTGAACGTATGGAGGATATGTCAGCAAAATTGACGGATAACGATTTAAGAAATTTATTCTATGGTAATTACATCGAACCAGATGCAAATCCTCGCATATATGATGAAGTTGAAAACTACAATAAATTGGAGAAGCTAATGACGTACTATTTGCATGAGTATAATGACTTTTCAAGCACACCAATGGATTTAGTACTCTTCCGTTTTGCTATTGAACACATATCAAGGTATTATAAAACTAAAAAAATTTAAAAACATTTTTAAAATAATGTCTCAAATGTCCTAGAGTGTCTCGTGTTTTGCAAATGCCGCGTGGTAATATTTTGATGGTTGGTATGGGTGGTTCTGGTAGGCGCAGTTCCTGTAGACTTGCTTCAAGTATTGCTGAGTGCAAATTAATGACTGTACAAGTCACAAAAACTTATACGCAACAAGACTGGAGAGATGACTTAAAGAAAATTTTAATGACTTCTAGTTTCAATCGAAATCATACTGTTTTTCTATTTTCGGATGCACAGGTAAATATTTAAATAACTTACTTATATATATATATATAAATTTTTTTGTGAAGAAACAGCTGCATGGATTATAATCTGTATATAGGGTTTATTATAATCTGTATATATCATGTATATAGGGTATTTTTTAAGAAGTTTAGAATAGAATGCAAAGAAACACAAACTCAATAAACGAGATATATATTTTGAAATACATCTTAAACACTTCATCTTGAAGACCCAATTGTGCGTAAATCTACTTCATTCTATGAATAACGCGCTCAATATTTTTTTCTAAAACAGGAATTTATGTTGACTTATCCACGTCGACCACTCGCTTCCTATACTTTCCCAAAAAAATGTAAACAGCAGTAAATCTCACGATATTAAACGCCAAGTAACAACTACATTATTGGAAATTCAAACCTGTCGTATAATAAATCTTAAAAATTAAACAAGTAGCACAACAGTGTTAAGAGCAAAAATCATCCAAAAAGATATTCCCGATATATTAAAAAATAAATCATTTATCATGGTACTTTTCCGTATGGCACTGATATTGGCAAACTGATTTCTTTTTTATAAAATTATTTCGTCCTAATTTTGCATTCATTACCATTAATACTTCCGCAAAAAATTTTTTTCTGGCAGTAAATCATCCGATCTATGCTAAGTAGATATGAAGGGAGCACAATAGACCCGATGGTCGCAGTTTCACATTTCCTTTTAATAATAAATAAATAGTAAACAATTCATTTCTGAACACAGAAATTCAGAGTGATTAAAAGTGAAAGCTTAACACCATTGGGTTCCTAATATAAGTATTAAAATACTGCGCCGTTAAACAACCAATTAGAACTCCATGAATTCCACCAGTACTAATTGAAGCTATATATTACTATATACTTTCGGCTGCCAAAAGTGAAACTCACTCATTTTCCTACTAATAATATTCCAAACAGTAATGGGATGGTGTCCTCAGAGTCTGACCACTTCACACACACCCATGCATTCCATTATACTCATGTCACAAATTACTGCAATTAAGATAAAACCACACGATGATTGTTAACCTGTACAGCCCCATATTTATCAATTCTTGCCAGATTTTATGATTTTTAAAGACAATATAGTTATCGTGCACACGTTTTAATAACGATTTATCAACTAACTTATAACACCTAGCACAGTCTCGTTTAAATCAAAATTGGTCCAGAGAACATTCACTAATATAATAAAAATTAATCATTGGTCAAGTCACTGGTACAGGCGACACTTTTGATTGTCTTCATTTTTAATAATGTATGGTTTAGCAATGTTCCTAGCCCATAAACACCACCAAACAGTATATTTTTTAAGGTACACCAGTAGCCAATGGATCGCGTTTGAATATTCTTTACTCTAATTGGTAATTTTTGTTAACATATCTGTTGAAAAACAAAGATTTACCAAAAGTGAAACTTATAGCACTATAGTGTTATGTAAAACTTTTTTACTGAACATTTATTTGGGATGCTTATATATATAATTTGTACATCCTCCTTGAGTGATATCTCGACATAAATGTTAATAGAATTATAATGGAAGCTGATAGATTAGTTATCAAGGAGTTAAGTGCCATTTTATATAAAATAATATGTACTAAAAATAAGCACCGACGAATTATGTTTTATAAGAATTATGTTTTCTTCGCCAAAAATCACTCAATAAATAAACTGCTTAAGTTCTATTAGCACATTGATTTCGTGCCATATTAATTAATTCACTTATTTTATTAACTCATTAGTCTGAAATTAAATTATAAGCATTCAATATTATTAATGTTTATTATGAATCTGTCAATTCGTATGATAATAAATGAAGTTATCAATGAATTTTCCCAAATGGGTTGATGCTGTCGATTTTTGTTAGAAAATTCTTGACTTTTCTGACCTAATTTGGGCAAATTTGCTATAAGGAATATGATATGAATGAATATTAGTAATACTATTAACACAACACACAAGTAAATTTAATTAAACACCTACTTTGGACTACCACAAAATAACAAGAGAATCAAGTCCTACATGTGTAAGTTCCCTTCACGAACAAATTTTCATTGTTTATTTAAGGAAGTCATAATTAAGTTTCTTTCATTGGCATTTACTACAGTTACTATACAACACTATGATTGCAAATATCAGATATGCACGTATATACAACCTAATAAACTTAATAATCTATTCACATACGTATATTTTAAGCGTACATTTAAAGAGCGTACCCTTACAATACTAATATTATTAAATTTATTGACAATAACGAATTTAAGGCTCCAATTTAATTTATGGAACAATATAAATTAATTTTACACTGCATTTCATATGCAAATAAATTAAGCAAAGGAAATAATTTATAACTTTTGAGAACTTATTGTAAATAAACATGTAGACAAGATGTTAACAAGATATTTCAATCGAGTTACATATAATGCATCATGCATATGCATAAGAATATGACCAGGCTACAGATATACGTACAAAGAGGAGCGATGATTGTGCTTCCATTTAAAAGCAATTTAGCAATTAACAAATAAATTTTATGCAAATATTAAAAATTATAATGAATTTGTCCTTTCCGGAGTGTAGCTCAAGTCTACAGTTAACTTTAGCTTTGCCTTCAGCAGTCAATAATAATAATTAATTTTATCAGTGAACTAACTTATAGAATTTCTTTGATTATACATCCTGCCCAAATAATATTACACTGTTGCACATAACACCTGTGTATTACAGACTAGATGTGAATTCAAGTACAAAGATATGTTACTGTGTCGTTTGTTTGATATCTGGAAGGGGACAAATGTACTTATTATGGATTAGTATTCTACGATGTTCATGCACAAGTGACCGATATGCATATTAGCATCATACAAGTAAGCCATCTAAGGCTTGTATTTGCGCACATATACATCATTTCATACATCATTTCAGTTTTAATTTGATTTTAATTAATTTTACTCACTAAATTTTGCAAATGTTCCATTTAATGTTTATTGTATTAGTACACAGGCAACACCTACTATATGAGCTGGTTAAGAAAACCATTTCCATTTATTGCAGTTAAACATCATACACAGATGCAATTCTTAGTTCTAAAGGCTCTCATTATCAGGACTTCTTAATAATTAATTCAAATTCCAATATATGGAAACTTCTCAATATTATTGATATACGTATGAATTGAATACATTACTGCGATATATAAAATAATAATTAAATTATTGAACTGACGGATGTTGTAGCACATAAATCCTAACTTTGGACATAATAAATTGATACCTGTGACATGCAATTAGATTTATGTTATTTTTAATATTGGTAATGCATCCTTTGATGCAGTCTTATACAATGATACTATCATCCAATATGTGCATATTTGTTACATTGATCCATTGATACGATTATATAGAATAGAATATATAGAATAGTTTTGGCGAAGATGTCAAGACGATAATGTTATTCACACACAAATAAAGTTGTCAGGTTGTGTAGTTCAAAATTTTTATCAATATTTAATTTATTTATAATAATTTAAATGAAAAGATATAAAGAAATATAAATTAATTAATTATTTTATCTAAATATTAAATAATATCTCCATGGGCTATACTTTGCAAAAAATTAAAGCAACTTATGGAAATGATAATTTATAAATTACTTCTTTTGTTTTCAGTAGTATACATTGACTTATTTATTTTAAATAATTTATTAAAATATAAACATTACATCAAGAGAGAAAAAAAGATAGAAGCTAACTACCTGAATATTAACTGGTTAAAGTTTAGAAGTCTGCACTTCAAATGATAAATACTGCATTAATTCCTGTTGACTTTTATTTTCAATCTTTTATAGTTTTATATGTACTAAAACCTAAACGTTTCTAATTATTAAACTAATACAAATCCATACATAAGAGGTCTGTCAATTAATGAAAATCCGTCATATACTTTTGTACAAGTGCGAGAATTTGTTATTTGTAACTTTTTAAAAACATGTATAGATCTCTAAACCTCGAAGATAATACCTTCGAAATGTCGAAATGACGAAATGAACAAACCAATTTATTATCTTTTTGCACAACACCTCCATAAGCTTAAGACACTACAGTTAAATAATCATTTAATGAAAGCAATTGATACATGGCAAGCGAAAGACGTGTAATGGCAAGTGACAACATCGCCCGTTGACAGCGGACGATGCTGTGTAATGGGCCTTTAAATCATGGTCACAAAGCCTTAGTATATCGTTAAATAACAATACCCAAACACAATGATGGCTAATCACTGGATATTAGCACCGTGGAATATGTTATATATGTAAAATTTTACTTAACCCTACTATTTTCTATATTGATGGCTAAAACAAGTACTTATCCACAAAATGTAGATAAATAAATAAATAAAAAAAAAACTTAAAAAAAAATTCAATAAAAAATAATTCAATAAAAATAATAAATAATTAATAAATAATTAAATAGTTATATATTACTGATTTCACCGTTTCTTAAGTGGTTTTCAATAATTTTAAGCCATATTATTTTTATTGATAACTATATTCCTATATTCTTAGCACAATCAGTCTTGCTATTTTTCTGAACTCAACTACTCTGTTAGGTATTTAAATAAAAGTTATGGACTGAGTTATCTCTTATTACTCTGAATACATTATACCTAATGTGTTATAAATAATTTTATTTTTTATATTTATTGGTAATGCTTTTAAGCAATGCAAAACCATATTGAATATTTATATAATTAAAATTTCTCTAAGCCTTACTGTAAGTAAATTTATATAAATACAATTTAAATAAATAAAACTTCTTTAAACTTATATATTATTTTATTTTTTTAATAACATAAGAAAAGGTTCAGAATCATAAAAATAATTCAATTTATTAAGTTGAGATTTTTATATAAATTACTTATTTCTCTAATACATATTCAGGAGTAATTTATATTTTCTGATTACCTTTGCTTTCTTTAGGCAATTGATGAAGGTTTCATTGAAGATATCAATGGTATATTAAATACAGGTGATCTACCTAATCTATATCAACTTGAAGATAAAGCATCAATAATGGAAAATATGCAAACTATATCCAAACAACAGGTAAGTAGAAGCTACAACCAATTATATTAAATTTTGGCCAATTTGATAAGTAAACTCAATCTTTTATTATAAAAGAGTTATAATAATATTTTTATTTAATTTTAGTTACCAGCATTTCATATGATGCTGCTCTTGTATTTTTTATATTTTTATACAATTTACCCAATTCAACAATTTACTCGTACTAGATATTTATCTCAAGTACTACCACAAACTCATACCTCGTACTAGTAAATTTAATGCAAGTACATTGCACAAATTGCTTGATTGACAGCAAGTTTAAATGCTGATTTACCTTACCGTACCTAACATTATTTTATTTTATTTTATATTATTTTATTTTACTTTTGCTGGCAATATTTTTGTAAAAATAACTTTTCTACTTCATACATTTTATTTTGCACAGGGTAAAGTTATTGATACTGCACCGAGTGAAGTGTACGCATACTTCATTGAAAGGATACGTGAGCAATTGCATGTGGCATTGGCCTTTTCACCAATTGGTGAATCCTTCAAGGAACGTTTAAGAATGTATCCATCACTGATAAACTGTTGCACGATTGATTGGTAAGTATTGCAACAAGCATTTATATTTTAGCAGGAAGCAAGCTGTATTTACAGCTCACTGAATATGTGCTCGAGAAGAAGAAATGTCAAAGTAACTAGATAAGGAAGCATAATGCTCGGAACAAGTTTATACCACATAAATGTTCAAGTACATATATATATATATATATATATATAAAGCAAATGTTATAAAAAAGTTTTTGCACGTTTACATGTACGAGTGAAACGGGATTTAACCAACACTTCAAATTTGACAAATCTTTTAAAAGATATTTCATTGCCGTTTGTAAAGAATTCTCAAGCGTAGTTAAATTAAGTTTGAAAATTTCTTTGCAAAAATATTTTTTGAAATATTTACTTCGTAATATTTATAAGTAAAAAACATAGTTCGAAATTAATATTAAACTTTATTTAATTAAAATGATCAGAAAGTTATATTCATTCCATCATACAAATTTAAAATAATATTTTAATTAAAATTAGTAATCGATATTGTTCTACGCATAGTATAGTATGCATAGTATATTTTAACTAAATTTAATTAATTCGAAAATAAATTTCTAAAGAAATGAAAGAAAATTGCTCTTTCTTTATTATTTTGTACACTACAATTTAATTTATTTTTGCAGATTGCTATTCATTGAATATAAAAACATCGATCAATAAAAAATAAGATTTATTTGTGATGAACACATATTCAATGAATATTGACCAAATAATTCCAAATATATCAATCGATAACGGAGACGAAACTCTAATTCCCGCAAACACATTTTTGTATACTGCTTAAAAAATAAAAAATGAAAGTGTGGTATATTCTCGGACACTCTTAATAATAATAATAATAAGTTATTAATAAGTTATTACTAAATTAGTATAGTATTTTCAAAACTAAAGTTACACCCACCCACAGAGCGCTAAATCAGCAGGATTAGCGTTTCTAAAAGCAACGCAGAAAGGCACGACTCCTCTCATTAGATTAAAATGAATTAACCCGACAATTCTACAAACTTCTATAGGACTTCTATAAGTCCCTAATTTTACAGGACTCTGCAGCTCTGTTAGGTAGTAAAGAAAAGGGGCACATTGTAATAGTGCATTGGAATAATCTATATTTTCACGGATAGTCATATGATTTGCGAATCACTAACAAACGCAAAGTTAAGATCTGAATCAGATATATTGACCCGATCATCTCTGAAAGAAACGATAAAAGTCATATTCAACTTATTTAGTTTTCGAGACACAATGATGTTGCTGGATATTGTAGAAATAATTAACTGGACTAATATAACTCGAATTCTCATTACACAGTAATATATAAGTTTACATATACAGGAATTTTGGGTACCAACACTATATTTCTAATTCTTTTATATTTTTTACAAATTATATCCGTTTATGCTAAAATAATCATTTAATTTTCATTATTTACTTGCCCTCTTATACAAATCATAATAGGAAACACAAACTTACTACATACCAAGTCAACTGGGGCCAAAAATATGTCACAAAAGAACAAACTGCCAATCTCCTGATGTCGGTCTGTAGATCTTTTTCTTGTAGGTATGCAAGCGATTAGGTTAGATGGCTCTAATAAAGGTTTCTTTAAAGATGAGAGCTTGTAAGAAACAATTTAGGACTTTTTATATTATTAAACGGGCTTTTACGCATAACTTCTTTAAAAAGTAGAAACTAGGTACAATTGACTAAATAAGAATGTTAACGTTAGCATTGGAAACTAGATAAAGGTGGTCAAAAAGATGTCATGAGCAGACCTATGTGAGTGAATCCTTGTACCATTATTACCAGAACTTCCATTATAAAACTAATAATTATAAGTAGTTAATATGGTTGTGTATAACCAACGTATGGCACGTAAAGTAATTATGCAACGGATTATCTATAAGGCAGCATATCTGCATTTTACTATTCGAAATAATAAATTTCAAGACTGATTTATACAAACCATGTTATTGAATATAAAACAACATTTTTTTAAGTTCTAACTATTAATGCTTTTATTATAGGTATATGCCATGGCCACCAGATGCTTTAGAACGAGTTGCTGAACATTTTGTTTCCTCACTGAAGCTAGGTCAGGAAATGGAAGCTGATGATGAAGAGGATGCCGAAAGAGCATCAACCAAAACTACAGACCACGAAGAACAAGTTCAAGAAGTTGTTGAATTAAGTGATCTTGAAAAACATTTAGTTAAGGCAGTGATAATTTTTAATCAATCAGTATGCGATGCTAGCGAAAAGTAAGTATCACAATAGAAAAATTTAAATAGAAATGATTTTTTAATAAATATTTTTTATTTATTACTAAGTTTTAATATTTTTATTATAAAATTTAAATACTTAAATGAAAATATTTACAGATGTTACATTGAATTAGGACGTCGAAATTATGTAACGCCGGCTTCCTATCTTGAAATGCTCAAAGCATTCAAAATCTTTTATAAACGCAAATTACATGAAACCACTAAACTAAGAGATCGGTAAATAAACCAAATAAATTTTTACTAAATGCTATAAAAAAAGACATATTATTTGTAATAGATACACAACTGGTTTGGAAAAGTTAGACTTTGCTGCTGGTCAAGTTGGTGAGATGCAAGAGAATTTGTTTGAATTACAGCCAAAACTGAAAGTACTCTCTGAGGAAACTGAACGCATAATGGTGAGAATTGAGAGAGATACAGCTGAAGCTGAGAAGAAAAAAGAAGTAGTTGGCGCTGATGAATCAGCTGCTAATGATGCGGCTGCCGCAGCGCAAGCAATTAAGGATGACTGTGAAAGCGACTTACAGGAAGCTATTCCAGCACTTGAAGCAGCAATGGAAGCTTTAAATACTGTTAAACCAGCCGATATTGGTATTGTCAAATCAATGAAAAATCCACCGTACAGTGTAAAATTGGTACTGGAAGCGGTGTGTGTGTTGAAAGGCATTAAACCTGATCGCAAACCAGATGCTACGGGTAAAATGGTTGAAGATTATTGGCCTGCTTCACTGCGTATGTTAAGCGATATGAAATTTTTAGAATCATTAAAATCTTTTGATAAAGATAACATACCGGGACCAATTATGAAAAGAATACGAGAAAAGTAATATATTTATAATTGATATTATTAATATAATTTTTTTTATAATTTTTTTTTATTTTTTTTATACATACTACTTAATACGGATGTAAATGCAATGTTATTATATATTATATTATTATTATATTATATATTAATCTGTTTTTAGATATATTGCTGATCGTGATTTTGTGCCAGAAAAAATTAGGACTGCTTCATCTGCTTGTGAAGGTATTTGCCACTGGGTACGAGCTATGGATGTCTATGACAAGGTAATTAAAATTGTTACTCCTAAAAAGGAGGCTTTAGCTGAAGCTGAATCAGAGTTAGCAGTTCAAATGGAAACTTTGAATGCAAAACGTGCTGAATTACAAGAAATTTTGGATAAATTACAAAAATTGAATGACCATTTTGCGGAGAAATCACGTGAAAAGAAACGTCTAGAAGATGATATTGATACATGTGAAAAAAAACTAAACAGGTAAAATATATAAGCAGCATTTCAACTCAGCTTAAAACTTATTCTGATTTGCAATCGTTTATAATTTTTTAGTACATACTATATCCAGCCTTCGATTTAATAGTTTGCTTTAATAGAAAAACTTTCACACTATCTAGTGCTATTTCAAAATAGCATAATACTAATAATAAGTGTATGTTAAACAGTTTCTTTTTTGCTTTGTTACCAATCCGATATTTTCCACATTATTGGTATTATATGAAAATATCAATATTTACAAAGATTAAGATATGGCAGTTTAAAAATGTGTCTTCAGTACCCAATTTCAAAATTATTTCCTGAGAAACGGGTATTCTTATTTTATGAAAGGAACCCCTTTAAAAACTTTCAACCAAATCGAAGGTGATGAAGTCAAAAAGGTGTCCAATTTGTAAAAGAGTGATCCATATACAATAAAGATAATTGCAAATAAACTGTTAAAAAAAAATACCTAACTTCCATTTAAATCAGGAATATGTTATTTATTTTTAATTTGATTTTTAAAATCAATTGTGATGAAAAAAAAACTATTTCTTAATAAAAACTAGGTTTTAATAGAAAGGTTTTTTAAATAGTAATGAAATAAAAATTTTTACTTAATTAAATATTGGTAAATATTTATTTTAATTTATATTGTTTTTTTTATTTTTACTTATTATATTTATTTATATCTATTTGAGCCAGTGCACTTGAGCACTTTTACTCTTTCTTAACTCGAGGTATTTTTAAAACCCCTCTTTACGCCTTGTCTGGATTGTTGTTCATCAGACTAATCAATAATTGACCTCAGATCTGCATTTATTTATATCAAAAACTATATATTTATTTATAAATTTTTTTTTCTAGAGCTGAAAAACTGCTTGGTGGCTTGGGTGGTGAAAAAACCCGCTGGTCTGAAGCAGCTCATAATTTACACGAATCCATACATAATATCGTTGGAGATGTATTGCTTGCAGGAGGTTGTGTAGCATATTTAGGATTTTTCCCAACAGAAGTAAGTAGAAAGCCATTTTATTGCAAAGTCAAAAGTGTTTAAAAACTTTTTTATAAACAGACAAATTTAACATTAGTTTTAATGCAACTATTTGTAGACGTGATGGCATTTACCAATTTGTTTATTATAAATTTCAGTTTAATACATTATTTTATAATTATTTTTTTAATGAATAACTTTGTTTTTTCATTTGTAAATGCCTATGCATATTAATTTTATTTTAAATAATTGCCAACATTGTTATCATTTTCCACCTAAAATATTTTTCAATTTATAGCTTATATTAGAAATATGTTAAAACTATTGCATAGCAATTTATATGTATGCATTTGTACATTATAATTATTTCCAATTTATTGCGGATTATATGCATATATACATACTTTGTATGGAAAGCAAAATTTTCCGTAAAAAATATTTTGTTCAATGATCCTTAATTATTTAAGAGTAATAAGCGCCTAAGTATGCGTGCATTATTTTTCGAATTTACACTCGTGAATAAATTCAAAATACAAAATACAAAATGCAAAATGCAAAATGCAAAATACAAAAATTCAAAAATTAAATTCTAAATAATTTACTATTATAATGAAGTTGCTTAAGCGAAAATTTATATTAAAATATGTTGCAGAGTTTACTGAAATATTTCACGTGCGCTTAATAAACTGCAAAATTATTTAAAACAACGGTTTATGTGCGCTACACAGCACTTGCAGGCACAGGACATTTTCAGTTATTTAAAAATGCAGTTAATATACTGGAATGACTATAATAAGCAGCCTAAAGAGCTTTATATAAAATATTCTTCTTTATTTTATATTAAATTTTAAACACACTAAAATGAAATATTTTTAAAAAAAATGTCTGCTCTTTTTATTTTTCACACCGACAATGAAAAATTATTTGTATTTTTATCTATTATTTAATTAAAAATTCCTTTGTAGTATCGTGTCTATATCGTAGAGGACTGGAATGAGTTACTACTAAAGTTCAATATACCATGTTCAACAAAATTTTCATTGGCATCTACACTGGGCAATCCAATGCAAATACGTGCCTGGTCATTGGCTGGTTTGCCGGCAGATAATTTTTCTGTTGAGAATGGTATCATTGTAACGAATTCAAATCGTTATTCACTGATGATAGATCCACAGGGTAAGTATAAACTATAATTAGAATGTAACTTAATAATGCAAAATTAATTACGGTTGTAGAACTATTTCAAACTATTGTTATTGAATATATGGTATTAAAGCTTAATTAGTTTTATACATTAAAAACAATACATATTAATTACAGATTACATTAATTTTCACAAGAACTTTAAAATGTTTGCATATTTTATCAATATTTTAGGTTTTTTCATACTTGTAGTTGAGATAATTAGTATATCGACAATACTTCTAATATACTTAACTCGAAATGATGCAATATTTTCATAATTTCGTTTTAAAAATCATAGCTTGATGAAAAAGCTCTCATAAGCTTAATGCAATTTTCTCAACTGAAATTTAGTTAATAAATTTAATTCCTACAGACTTCGAATTAAAATTTATACTAAAAATGAAACATTAAGTTTTAAAATCAGTTTAACAATTTTAAGAGTGCATTTCCAAAAAAAAATAAAATAAAATGTAACTTTATAAAAAATAAGAAATAATAAACGAATTGTTTTTGTTCTATTTAAGCAAAGTAATAGAAAAATAGTGAAACTAAATATTTTACTAAATCTCTAAATAGAATTTTTAAAAGAAATGGTATAAAAAGCAATGTGAAATCATTTCACATGGGATATATATATATACATATATTAACTTAGGTTAGGTTAATGTGGCAGTCCAATGTAAAACCAATACTTAACACGGGACCTTGACATTATTATAGTGAAATAACTTTGTTAATTATGAAATCATTTCGTGACTGACGTTTTTAATTTGAGTGTAAGACATTTCTAATAATTGAAGATATAATTACCTAAATTATTCGCTCTGCTTCTGACTAGAGCCGAGCAGCTGAAAAAAAGGTGTACCATTCTTTTTTCCTTTCCTCATATTAAAAATTTCTACAATTTTCCTTGGAGCGAATTTTCCGCTTTTCAGAATTTTTACTTTGAAGGGCATATCTACCAAACTGTCAGTAATTGATAATAAAAATCATGGCCTGAAATGTATCCCCTCTTAGTAGGTTTTCTGTTGTATCAAATTTTGACCACTTAAACTTAGAGATCAGATGCACATAACGTACTGGTCTCTCTACTGACTCTGTTCTTCCACAATAGTTTACAGGTGAGGATAGAAATTAATTGCAAACTATAAACTATTAGCAAACTATGACTGTCTAATAGAATTTCCTTTAATATTTTTAAACTTATATTAACTTGACCCAGACACCAGACTAATATCATTTAAATTTCCAGGTACTTTTAAACAACATTTGTTCTTAACATCATCACCAAGATTATTGTATAATCTTAATTTTAGATTTTTTTGCACATAAAATGTTTCATAAATTAAAAATTTAAATTTAAAATATTAATGTAAAAATCATATTAAAAACATTTTACTTCATACAAACTTTAATACACTGCATTTTAAACACAGAATCAAAACGAAGTTTTAAAAATTAAAAATAAAATTTTAAAATTGAATTCTTATATTTAAGAGCATATGTATTTAATATTATATAAAATAAAAAGAAAAGATTATTTGTATCATGTTTAGTATCCGGCTTTCTAGCGTATAGTTTTTATTTTTATTAAAAGTTTTAATATTTTCTTTTTAATGCATTCTAATTGAAATTTAAAATATTTTTATTAAGAGGTTTTTCAAACAGTAGTGAACTACAACAAAATAAATTCATTTTATATTATTTTAATAGTTGAATTTTTGGCTGACCATATAGCTGTTTCGAATATTGCGAAATACCCATCATCAGTGGTCTTGGAAATAATTCTTGTATTTAATTATCCCTAAATAATTTTATCAGACTGCAAATCGAACTCTTGCCCTGCCAAATTTGAAGCTCAGAGTCAGTGTTCATTAACTAACTGGCCCAAAGCAGTATTTTAGTTATGTGTTCGTAGTTGGAGTTTTGTAAAATTGCTGTAAGAGTTCACTTACAAATTCACTTACTATGTTTATATTAGAACGAAATCATAAACCAGGTGTAGAATAATTGAATTAATTATTTATTTTTATTTTTAATTGTTAAATTTCAATACTATTCTATTTTTATTGAAAAATAAAATTGAATGTTATCATAATTGATAAATGATAATGCCAATTTTAGCACTTTTCGACTAAGTCTCAAAACATTACTTAAAAGAATTTATATAATTTATTTCTTTTACAATCTAGAAAAACGTAGGAAGTTTAAACAACAACGTGGAAACGTGCTAAAAAAAATAATCATTTTTATTACTAGTGTTCTTTTTAATACTTTTAGCTATTCTAAATTTTTTTTCAATTTAATTCTCTGAGGGTACCATTAATGTACTTTACTCTTCTTATAAATCAATTTGCTAAGTCAAAATAATTCAAGAAAATCGTCAAGTCAATTTATTTACTAACATTTACTATAAAGTCAAATATTTTACTGTTGGATTACATATGCCATTAACTTACATACATACAAACATATTTACTCATATCATCCTCTTAAATTAACAGTTCAAGCCAACAAGTGGATAAAGAATATGGAAAAAAAGAATGACCTAAAAGTGATCAAGCAGACCGATTCCAACTATATGCAAGTACTCGAATTGGCTATTACGTATGGTAATCCGGTGTTGATTGAGAATGTTGGTAAGATTACGCAGAATAAATTCATAAGTATTTCCTATTTCATTTAAATTTATATTTATTTATTTATTTATTTCATCACATTCATCGCATGAAATATGGTTGAGTACTTTTTATTGAGCCATGAGCTATGAGCCATGAGCACAATACAATTTGGTAGCTTGTTTATTTTTCCGTTTTTATTTATTGTTCGTTAGTTTGTTATTTATTGTTTACTTATATACTTATTATTTTTTTTATTTTTTGTTTATTTTTATTGTAAATATTGTACTATTTATTGTGGTTATTATTTTATTAAATGAATGAAGTCATCCATTAAAATTAGCAATGTTCAAGATTGATGATTTAATGAAATCAAGCAGAAAACATTTAAATCCAAAATGTAGCGTAAAATTAAAAATAAACCAAGTAGTACTAATCAAAATGAAATCAAATTAAAAAAAATTTAAATATGCTACAAATTAAATTCAGTTCAGCCGAGAAAAGTCAACAGAAGTAAAACAATCTCAATCTCAAATGAGAAATACAAACAATATCGAAAAGTTAAATTAAGCATGGTAACTTTAAGGCTTCATATCTTTTCACTTTTTGTTTACTTCAAAATTATTTTGTAAACTCATAACAATTACAAAAGAATACTTAACAAAATCAAATTGCAGCGAAATATATATTTTTTTTTGTTTGAATTTCTTTTTCAGAGAAGTGAAGAGTAAAAAGTTTTGCAGGATTTCTTAGAATATAATATTATTATACAAATCTTAGATGGTCTGTTCACGGTAGCTACTTCATAATTTGTTTTTATTCAATTGTTTTTGTTGAAAACTCACTTTTCCAAAAGGGTTCTGCTTGAGTTTTATTACCTTTTTGATGGTACGGTTTTTATTTCATTATTTAAGTTTTTATATTAAATAAAATTTTATTTAAATATTTTTAACTAAAACACACAGTTTCAATATTAGTAAAGCGTATTTGTTTTTTTGGTCTGTCTTAAGAGTAAATAATAATAACTCATTAAAAATAAATGAATGTATACACCGCGATCTCTAGGATGTCTTAAGAGTAAATAATAATACCTCATTAAAAACAAATGAATGTATACACTGCGATCTTAACATCCCCGTAGTTAAGAATGTTATAAAAAGCCAAGCTAGAAATCACAAAAAACGTATTCAATATCATCCTAACCATTTTATTAGTACAGAATTTTAGCAGAAGGAAGACGGATGTGCTACTGAGCACAGTCCATTCAAGCCCACAAAATGTTTAAATATTTAGTCATTTACTCTTAAATATTGTTAATTGTCTATTCTTAAGTGACAGATCACAATAAGAGAAAATAAATTTAAAAAAAAGCTAACATAACAAAATTTCTACCGGCTAATACAATATACATAATCCAATATATGACAATTATATGGTATATATGGTATATATGGTATATATGGTATATAGTAATTAAAATTATGAAACAAATATTGTTTTTATTTTTAATTATTTTTTGTATTAATTTAAATTAACAATCTGTTTACAGTCTCAGACAATGAACAAAAATGTTTATTTTATTTTATTCAATTAACAGAAGAAGATACTTAATATAGTGTTAATGGCAACTTTTATAATGCACACTTCACTGACACTTAAGTAAAGTGTAGTATAACTATTTTTCAACACTAAACAATTAATGATTTCTAAAATGCTGAAATTATAATATTGTAAAATAAGCAAACTGACAAAATAAATTTTAAAATTAAAAATATATCCCAGTAAGGTAAAACTGAAAATTCAAATAAATACGTATAGTAAAAATGAATATTGAGTATTAGTTGTGAAATTGCGATCGTTATAAATACTAGAATCGATTAGTTTGTCTAAGAAGCACAAACATTGTGTGTAAGAGGAGTGAGGGTTACAATTTTAATATTAACCGTGAAAGATGGTGTTAAAATGAAGTATCTCCAAAAAATAGCTCAGATACTTTTTAGACTTTTCTCTATATTTTTATTCATCACGAACTTTTTTTACCAGATTTTGATAACTTCTTTAAATAACTTAAATATTTTTTAAAAAATTCAAATTTTCTAATACAATAATTTTTCAGACTTAATAAAAAGAAAAAAAAAACACTAAAAATTTAGATTTCACAACTAACACTGCTCGAGACTATTTAAAAGCATATCCAATTCGTAGTTCTTTGCTTCATCTGGAGTCCAGAATTTCTACTAAATTCTATTTACATATTTATATTTATATTGTCTTGTCGTAAGATTGACTTTACAATTTTTGAAATTTATTTTTTAAGGTCTAAGAAAAGTTTTTTAAAGTTAGATAGTTCAAAAACACTTAGATCTAGCTATCTATTTGAAACGTTTCTTGAAATATTTTAGATATTAAAAATGCTAGCTCAGTATACTATAAACCAGCGACCATAACAGTTATCATTAAAAAATAAAAATCACCTTTTAACTGTTATTCATATACCTATTAAAATAAATACGTACAAAACTCACATGCAAAATGCATTTTATATTTTTGTTTTTAAAAATATCACAGGCACGCAGTGTGAGTTATATTTTGTTTTCAGAAAAAAAAGTTATTCTTGAGTTTTATATTCTTAAGGCAAAAATGAGAGTTATTTGTGTGTTTTGAAATAAAAAGCGGAGTGAGTGCAAGAGTTATTTGTGCGTGCAAAATTAAAAAGCACTTGATAATAATTATTCTTGATAAATATAATATAAAGCAAATTTAATTATTATTTTTTTGTGTTTTATTTTAAAATGCTCATATATAAAAATCATACGTCATATTAAGAATGAAATTTGTTAGAATGATAACTATATACTTAAGTATGAATTTAGACAACTTTTCGTTGGTGTTGTTTTTCTTAAAAATTTTTGAAATAACTGTTATTTTCGATCCCTGCTTTAAATCTCAGAGAATCACAGCTTAAACACAGCATAAGTGTTAAGAAGTTATCACACACGTATAAGAATTTGTAACATTGTATCACTTTTTAAATTGATTTTATTAATTATGTTCATATATATATATTTGAAAAGCCTTAATTCGTATAGTATTCAATAAGCACTATAACTTATTCAATATTGCTTATTGTTTATAAATTAAGCACTTGTAACTTACTCTATATAAAGCAGAATTAGGTATTTAACGTGAATCAAGGAATAGATTTTATTGATTGATTAATTTCTTTATAGTTTCAATTTCTTTCATAAAGTTTATTGTGCAATAATATTATCAATATTAATAATACCTCAGCAACAAATAAATTGGAATAGTGTTAACAGTGCATAATGCAACGTTGCATATTTCACCACTGCTCCAGACAAGTTGTTGCCTCAGCTTAACATAAATATTCAAAATAAGTTATTTCACATTTGCTAAATTGCTTAAAATATAAATTGAATGACACAATTTAGTAATGTGAAATAATTTAATTATTACCTTAATCAACGCTTAAATTCTACCTTAACAATATATTCTTCTCATACATTATTCTGCATTTATAACTGAATAAATGTATTCACTCAATTTCAGGTCAACGTTTGGATTCAAATTTAACACCAATTCTTGAAAAGAATATTATTAAACATAAAGGTGGCTTCTTTATTAAATCCGGTGATACTATGATAGAATACAATCCAGATTTTCGGCTTTACATTACAACTTGTCTACGTAATCCACATTATCCGCCTGAAATCATGGTTATGGTAAGTTTACATTGCAATTGCAGTTTACAGAGCAATAAAATAAGAATGTTAAATATAGAAATAAAAATACAAAATAAGATTTTACGAATATATACAAAACCTAACCAAAGTAAAAACTTTTAATATCGACATTTTGGATTGATAGTCAAACTCTACCAAAGTAGACACACAGAAACATATATACCATACATATAGACAATAGCATAAAATTTTACTCCCGAAAAATGTAAATTTTTCTTGAGGCCAACTTGGTGCGAGGAAGAATTCTCTCTCGTTACACTGAACGCGTTCATATGGAAAATTTGTTAACATTTTGCTGCTGTCAGCATTTTCTTTTGCTGTTACATTTTCCAATTTTAATTTTGTCCTTTTGAATGTTTACTTTATTTTCATTACATCTTTATTTTCATTTTTTTATGCTATAAATGAAAGACTGCAAATTTCGTTTTTCTAAATTTTATTTTTATTTTTATTATAAATTTTACTATTTTTGTCATTCCTGTTGTATTCTGGATATTTTTTCCAGGTAACGGTAATAAATTTCATGATAACGGAACAAGGTTTGCGCGAACAATTGTTAGCCAATGTTGTGGCACGCGAACGTCCTGATTTGCAAGCCAAAAAGGAGCAACTGATTATTGAGTCTGCAAGGAATCGAGATGCTTTATATACAATCGAATCGCAAATTCTAGAGGTAAGCACTTTGCTTTGTTTTGAAATTCAATTACTGCTTTGTTTTCGTTTTATTTTTTCTGTAAATTAATTTTTCTATTTTCATTTTAATACACTCCTTTTTATTTTTTTTTTTTAATATTTTTTTTTAAATTCTACTAGAAAATTTTAAGTTTTGTTTGTTTCTCAATTTAGTTTTATGCTATTTTTTATTAATATATCGATATCTGATACGAATTTCATAAGCCAGCGTATTGTACCGTAGCAGCGCGATGGCAATAGCAAAATTCAGAATTTATGGCATTGACAATTCAATTATCTGGAAAAATTGATTTTGTATTTTCAGTTTTTGTAGCAGATTTTTAACTGAAGGTTTAGATTAGTTTAAAAATATGAAAACAAAAACAAATCATTGAAAAGGAGTTCGAAACTCGAAGATAAGAATTTAATTAAATATTATATAAAAGCATTTCTTCGTTATTTTCTTAAGTATTTGACTTTCTTGAATAAAAGGAATAAATATCATTAGTTTATATTAAGAAAGTCATGTTTATGTGCTTATTCTATATGAACAATCGGTGAGTTATCATGAAACATAATCATTCAATGAGCTACGCAAATATTTTTTAACACTGTATCCTTTTTTTTCATCGCTACCGATTTCTAACCAAACTACACCAGAACAACACCTCTTCTATAAAACGAAAAAAATATAGTCTGTTAAGAATTCGTGGCAAGTGTGTATTCCCTGAAAGAGATGGAATGGTCAACTTGCGAAATGAGTGCATGAAGCGCAGTATCGACAGACTTGCCTTTAGTATATACATGCTATGATGAAGATAAAAGCACGGGGTTTATAGTGTTCCAGATATCAAGATCTAAACCCTCTCCAGTACTTTTAGAAGAAAGGAGGACAGACTGATTGGTCTATAATCCAATCTCACTCACTGCAGTGAGTTGGTTTTCCCGCTTTGGGAATGAAAACTACACAAGCCACTCTCCAGCAGCTTGGGATATACATTACTTTAAGACAACTATTGTATATGCTTAGAAGCCAGGAAAGGATGACAAATTCTCCCTGTTGAATGTTAGCGGGATTGATGCCGTCCGGACCTGGGGATTTATTTGCTTTAAAGGTTTGGATGGCCCACTTGATTTGGGTGTTGGTCACTTGAAACGTATTGGGATTATTTGGAGGGAGCAAACTGATTTGATAATCCGCATTAGAGAATACACTCCCTGGAAAGTGCGAGTCCAGAAGAATGTCAAGAGTTTCCTTACTGGTGTTGGTCCATTGACCATTTGGAGTCCAGATACAATCAAGGGCCTTGTGAGTGGAATTGAGAATTTTACACAGTCGGCTAGACTCAGAGGAGGATTCTATGTTACCACAAAAATTTTTCCAAGCTGCCCTATTAGTCCGCCTAATGGGGTTATTTTCCTTTATAAGGTGCCAAGTTTCCTGTAGCTTTGGCATCAGCTTTCTGCAGGTTTTACGGAAGTCTGCAATGTTTAAGTTCAACCAAGGCGGTTTGGGTTTGTCCCTAAATTCCGATAGCTTGCAGGCCGCGTTTGTAGCGCATCTAAATGCTGATGTGATATGGTCAACCGCTCCATCAATATCGGAACAATTGAGAATGGTGGGAGGGACAAACTGTAAGTTGGACTTAAGGTCGGATCGAAACATATGCCATTCAGTATGTTTTCTATTTATTGGTTTAGATGATCTGTTCAATTCAGGGTTCACCGCAAAATCAAGATCAAAATTAATGTACCTGTGGTCAGAAAAGGAACAATCTTGCGATACGGAGAACTTCCCTTTATTAGAAGTTATTACTACCTTTGTTAGCAATCACTTTCATGTGTTTTGAGTTATCCTGCAAGTATGAAAATCAAATAAAGACCTCTACCTCGGTATTAGTTTAATTGTGCTCAATATAATTTAAATTTAAAAACTTCATGATTTTTTACGTCGCCTTTTGAAAGTTAATAAAAAGATAAGAAGATGCGTTATTACTCAATAGATGTAATATTAAACTCGGATGTGGACGGCTATAAAGATCACCTGCACAAACTAAACCCCTTCGAATCAGACGAAAAGAGATATATCAAACAAAGGGACAACAGATGCATCTCTGCTGCGAACAAATGCAGATATAACTGTGAAGATGAAAATAAAATTAAGCATTCAAATACGAAACTCAATCTTGTACTTGGCAATTGCCAATAATTAGAAAACAGAAAGTAACAGAAAAATACTTAAAAGTAATTAAAAGGAATTACATAACTAATGCGGCTCCTTCAATTACATTCACTCAAATAGTGAAATAGTGATTCTCTTGACTGTAATCTTTATTAGCTACTATTTTTACAAAAGTATTGAAAATGGATGTCATCGCAATGCTGGTTTAAAATAACTACAAAATTTTTAATATACCTTTTAAAGAACCTTATAGACCCACCAATAATTGTAGTTGCCTTTTTGATCTACTTCCCTCCCACAATAAGTAAATAAATCAACCTTAAACGAAATTTTCACGAATCACTTCTGCCTAAATTGAAATCTCAAAGTTTACTGATGTATTGTAGTAATACTTGACTGAATAATATTATAGTATGTTTTTTATACATTCATAAATTCTATTTTAGGATATTACACTCATTTTAGTTAAACATTTTATTTATTAACAAAATACAAACTCAATTTTTTTTTTTTTAATTTTAAATAAAAAAAATTTACTCACAAAAATCTTTTATCAATACTTATTTATTTTCATTCATCACAGGTCTTATCTAAATCTGAGGGCAATGTGCTGGAAGATGAAAATGCTATCAATATATTGTCATCGAGTAAAATACTTTCTGAGGAAATACAAGAGAAGCAAGTAATAGCCGTTACCACCGAAGCAGAAATTGATGCTGCACGTCAACAGTACATACCAGTGGCAAAGCATTCTGCCATTCTGTTCTTCTGCATCAGTGAAATGGCGAACATCGATCCAATGTATCAATATTCGCTTGGTTGGTTCCTGAATTTGTTTTTAACAGCAATTGCCAAGGCGGCTAAATCCAACGTACTATCCGAACGTTTGAATAATTTAAATAATTACTTCACCAAATCAATTTATCAAAATGTTTGCCGTTCGCTATTTGAAAAACATAAGTTGGTCATTTCGTTGGTAATGTGTTTAGGAATTATGGTGTCTGTCGTGAGTATATATTAAACAAAACTGACACTTTAAATTCAGTGCCTTCACATATTGTTTTAAATATTTAAAGCAATTTATAGTGTTATTGCCTATTTTAGTGCTACTGTAAGTCAGAAAGGCAAATGCTTTCATTACAATTTTTAGTGCTGTTATAATCTAAAGCGCATTAACTTAAAGCCAAGTTAATGCCTTTACGTTATTTTACATCCAAAATAATTTAGAATATTTTTGCTTTTCGGTAGTACCAATGTTCATTTCGCGCTTGTTTTCTATCTTGTTTTAATCATTATTAATTTTTCATTTAATCCTATTTCATTTGCATGAAAAAACATAAAACTGCAATCATCTAAATGGAACTTGCCATTTGCTAATTTTCAACTCTGCTCTGCCGCTTGCACGAATACAACAACTGTAATCCTGCTAACTCTGACACATCTTTTGAATGCCTTTGGAACAACAAACAACAAATAACGTAAAACTATCTTTCTACTACTCAAAATAACAAAAAAAAAAAACATAAATAACAATTACTTTGAAAATAAATGTTTTTAAACAAAAATGCAAACAACAAATCCAAAAATTGTTACATTCAACACCGAAAGGAAAGAGTGAATAAAGCGCATTTATTATTCTTCTTAACTGGAGGCGTTGGCTTGGGAAGCCTTCCCCCTAATCCAGCTTCAAGTTGGCTTCCCGAAAAATCATGGGCACAAGTAGCACGCGCTAGCGATTTACCGGGGTGAGTAAGTTATTGTTAAGCTTGAAAAGAAGTAGTCGCAAGGAAGTGAGTATCACTTTTGGCTTTATTTATTTGTAATTTGGTGATGTTGTTTTTAACTCAAACTTTATTTGCCTTTATTTGAAGTTACACAAACAATTGCCAATTTTGTAAGCCAAAGTTACATTTAAATATGCATTTTATTTAGAATGAATTTTTTTTATTATCATTTTATAAGCACTTGAAAATTAATTAATTTGAATTATAATTAAAGTAATTAGTGACTTTTAGATGATTTATGCAGACATTTAATACGAAAGAAGGGTTGTGAGGAGTAGCTAAAACCCCAGAAAATTAACGGCAGGAATCTAAATGCACATATCTATATGCACCTTGCATATCTATATGTATCTATACATATTTATATGTTTGGACCTTGCTATTAGGTTCATCTTTCGCAGGACATTGTACAATTCTAGTTCCTTTCAAAGTAATTTTCGATGACTTTGGAAATAGCTGACCATAACTTAACAGAAATTAATTTTCAAAACGTTGAGAGTTTGAAGAATATATTAAACTCACCTTTCTTTGCGTCAACATATAGTATACGCCAGAAGTGATAAAGTCGAGTGGTGATAAGTTGCATAACTTTAGTGATCAAATCACACCATCAAAATTAAGTTATTAGTTTTAAGAAATTTTACACGCAACAAAGCCAAAGCAGAAAATTGTGTGCGGGTTGTGACTTATGCCACCATTTTGTTGAAAGTATATATCTTTGACATCCATATCTTCATTAATGGGCTAAACATAATTGGTTATCATGTGACTACGATCGTGAAATGCAACACTATAAAATATATTTTTATGGGTCTCAT